CAAACTAATAGTCATGGAAATAAAAATGCTAGAAAGTTAATTTTCGTGTTCGGTTACATGTGTGAGCCACTGTATCAATAATTGAAATCGAAAAAATTGATGATTTGACTTATTTGCATCCGATATTTTTTCATCGGTCCCGGATTAATTGGTTCCAAGTCCTTCTCAGAAAATTCGATCCATTCTCCCGCTTAAGAACTCAACAAATCTCGCCAATTACATTACGTCATTCTTTATGGTAAAAGATAACGTTGGTGAATAAACTCAAAAGTATTCGCAGGAAAAGGAATGCTGTCTAAAACATTGCACTGGATAAAAGTCGTGTTAGGAAGGCGAAGGAAAATTAGCTGAAGTGATATCGATTTCAACACAGGCGGAAAGTAGTGGCGGCCAGTTTTTATATTTCATTCAATTTGTATAATAAAATATTACTTTGATAGTGCCTTTGAGTAGGGCATTATGCCCCTAAAATATCAGTACCTGATGTGCTCTCTTTCCGTGTCAATGCAGGTTTGAATAAAATTTAAATTTTGTAACTAGAACGTTTTTTAACTAAAAAAAAACTAAAAATCGCAATAATTCGATAAATACTATTCTGATTTAAATAAAATCATTACCAAAATGTTCGTCTTATTGAGACGAATTTAATAAGACTAAAATTATAAAATCCTGATCACTGGTTATTGAGAAAATAAGTTTCGAAAATTTTACAAACCTGCAATCGGGAAAATGACTCCTATTAGATTTTCGCAAATTTATCACATTTTTATTTATTTTTTAATTGTTATTATCTTGCTAGAATCTAGCACTTTATTTATATATTTTACTTCTATAAAAAATGTATCATAGTAAAATTTACATAACAATCTCACCGCCATTACTTTCCGCCGGAACTGTAAATGTTGATTTCGGATAGTTGTTGCTGTTCTCTGATACCCAAGCTCCAGGTCTACAGCTAAAATTTTTAGTTTTCTAGAATGCATATAAATTGCCATCCCTCCTGCTGATCATAAATCGGAAATAGGAGAACGAAAAAGAAAATGAATCTTCAGATTCGTCATCAATATTATATTCTTGCCCTTCGATACATATGAATCAAGAATGTTAAATTCATATTTTGAAAAAGAAGGTGTACCTTTCCTAGTTTTAAGCGCTGAAGATATTATACATGTATTAAGTTTGTGTTTCGCTTTACTGTTTGTCAAAATACTTATTAAAATACAAGTTAAACCTGTTAAACTAAAGCACTAATTAAAACCTGCATTACCGAATTTGGTTCCAGGACAGTTACAGTAAACCTGCCTCGATAAATTAAAGTTGGTTCAAGAGCAGTTATAATAAATCTACTTCGATAAACCAAATTTACTAAATAAATTCCTAACATTTAAAATTACTATTAAATCCAGGATTGAATATATTAATTCGTGATCCGCGAGTTAAGGAATTAACTATATAAATTCTTCAAGGCCATATTTCATATGATTACCAATGTTAATAACCCACGATCTGGAGCCGAGAATTTTTCCTAATAAATTCGGACAAGTCTTTATTTTCAGCTCTCATCTATAATCAGCTAGATTGTGAAGTTCAGATAAATTATGGGTCATTATTAATTATCATATAAATTTGCACTGGAATTTCTATAGTTAATTCCTTCCCTTACTCGTGAATCACGTTTTTTCAGAAGTAGTGGCCTAGCTTAAGCGACGCTCTATGGAATTCTATTATCTGATCAAGTAGATAAACGGCCAAAAGTTTCGTCTATTGAAACCACTTACAAATCCTAGAATGCTCTTACGACATTGATAACATATTGCTTGATAAAGGAAGAAAATCCTAAAAAAATCTTTTTAAATACGAAGGCGAAAATGATTCATCTAACTTCAAAATTTATATAAAGTAGTTCAGATATTGAAATTGAAAATTTTGCAACTAAAGTCGAACTGAACATGAAAAATTCAAAGCTCGCTTTCACATAATAAATGTAAAATGCTTTATACGTATAACGATAACGATAAATTAATTATGTACGCCATAGCGATAGACTCACGACTATCTCAATTTAAACATGTCAAGTTCTAGTCTAGTCGGTATAATAACTTTCTAAAGCCAAACAACACATGTAATTCGTTCATTGAAAATATGTGGGAGGGATCTAACACAAATTTCTTGATTATTCGTTTGCGAATTCTTCTCATGTTCCAGCTTGCACCTAGACACCACACCAAAGACAAAGTCGAAATGCATACGTATATTGACAGATTACTTCCTAGTTTAGATGTACACTATCGCTATAAAATTTTTTCATCAAAATTGATTTTAACATCGCTTTCACGTTGACTTATATTGTCAATAAGGGCAGAGTTTATTCCATATGGCTCTTTCATAATGCTTGAAGAAAACTTCTCTAAATTGGATGAAGAAATTTGAGTCAACAATCAAAACGAAAAATCAAGTTGTTAAAGAAGTCAAAGAAGTCGCTGAGGTTGTTAAAAAGCTTGCAGATAAGGAATCAGTTCAGTCCCATGCAAGTCTTAAGCAAAAATTATCCCTGGCCTGGTAGAAAAATCATACGCAAATCAAGGATGTCACCTTAACATGGTCACACTTTCTCTGAACATTTCTCGTTTCACCACTAATTGCCAAGGAAAAAGGAACAGACAGGTGAATCGATATCATGTGCTCTTCGGTGTTGGAGATGACGGAGATAAAGACAATATCCGCAAAAGGATACAATGGAAGTCACTCTCGGCCAGGGAAATTTATACATCAGGAAGTTTTATATGTCCATAGATATAAAAAAGACAAGCACGTAAAATCCACGGAAATTGCAAGGAATGGCGAAAGCACCGAAAACGCGACAAACACCGTATAAATAACTACTGTTTTTTTTTTCGCACAAATTTGTCATTCCGTGCGAAAAAAAAACAGTACCAAAAACGTAGTTATTTATACGGTGTTTGTTGCATTTTCCGTGCTTTCGTACCATTCCTTGCAAAGTTTACGTGGATTTTTTGCCTTTTTTTAATAGGGCCGGACAGTCTCTGAACAAACAGATGTCTGAAGATGTTTATCCCGTTGCAACTTTGTCCTGATACACGGGATAAATGTTTATGGATATGTCTATGTACATAGGGTTTGTCCAGAGGCTGACCAAACATGTCTGATGACATATAAAAAACTTCCCGATCTGAGGCCGTATGACGACATTTCACCTTGCAAAAGTGGTGTGTGGTTACATATATTCGAATACAAGAATATTTGTAATTGATTCCCAAAATGGGAGGGTTGCCAGTCATATCGATACGTATACGGTAATTGAAAATATCAAATGCATTAATTTATTTATTTCGTATTTATCTTTATAAAATAGAAAAACAAAAACGTCTCTTTGTAAAAGTTGCTCGTTCTGATATAATCAAGGCTACAAGTTGGTATAATCTCTTAGATATATTTTTGGAAGAGTTTATAAATACATGATAAAATATTATTTTCACACACTGAAGAATAAACACGTTCGTTCTCAACGGAGCTATTGGATCATCCATTACGATCATTACCCGTTATAACGAGCTTATTGACAGATTACGACAAAACTTACTTGTTGCAACCATTCAATATACAGTATTATGGCATCCAACACTAAAGTGTATATCGATATGTCAAATTCAATAGAAATTGGTGACATTTCAACTGATGATTCGCCCGAGTTTAGCTAAATTCGGCAGCAATTCTGAGATAATGTCCGAATTGTCGCGGGAATAGTCCGAAGGCAATAGCGATCGAGTTGGGTAAATTATCAGCCAAAACAGCCAGTCATCTAGTCCAAACAAGTTTCGAACTAGATTTTTAATTGTATCGGTATTTCCTCTTTAGTCATAGTTGATAAATCTTATCGTAATTCAGATCTTTATCATTATCAACGTTAATATTTCAAAATAAAGATTTTGCTTCCTGGAACATCAAAGGAGAAAAGAAAAAAGGACATGGACGAGATGAAGCTGAGTTTTTTGGGCCAATGGTCTCGTAGAAGATTTAATCACACAAAAAAAGTTATTGCAAATTTTTTTAAAAATATTATCGTTATATATAGAATTTTTAACATTTGGCCTTTATAATTTCCACAACTATTACTTATACAATTACTAATATAAAAACATTAGAAAGGTTTATAACAAATTGTTCCTATTGCACTAGATTCAATTGCTTAGAGAAAATCATATAGATATATGGATGCTTACAGATGCAGAACAAGCAGAATATGCAGTTAATATCAAACTCAATTCCTAATAATCTTGAATAAAACTTAATTTTGGTCAGAATTATCTTTAATTCTATAATGTACAATTGTAAATTATGCTAAAGTAAACCCATTATTTGGTAAGTCAACTTTCGGCTGAACCAACAAAAATGATGAGTAATTAATTAGTTATATTCCGAATAAGTATGTTTGGAAGACAAAAGTTCAAAGATGAAAATCAAAATTATTTAAACAGCAAGATGCATTATTATTTATTTGCTTCAATCGATAATTTTCCCAATCTTCTCAAAAAAAGAAATTTTTAATACACTAATACTACGTAATTAGCTTTTTCGAAATCAATGACAAAATAAATACGTCACTTTACTGCATATAGAAAATCGTCATTTAAGGATTATCCTCTAAAAAAACGTCGTATCTGAATAATCTAGGACCCGGGAATTTGTAAAATTTGCTTATACAATCAAGGTACACTACGCTAGTAGTCGATTATTATTAGGTAATTAAACAATTTCATTGTTCCCTGTTTCATTTGTGATGAAGCTTGACTATAATCAATAAACAATGTGATTTAATTTGCATTCTTTGCATCTTGGATTTTTATTGCTTCGACCATACTTCTTTTCATTCACAAACAGTCTACTAGAACTTTTCCATTTGATAAGACGAAGATTTTTTTCCGTCTGATATAACGGAAGATTTTCCATGTCCCAATGCCAAGCTAAAGACACTTGATCGAGATTGCTGTTTAAATAAAAACGCAAGACGTCATTAGTGAAACCTTAATGCATCGATACTCGTAATGGGTTACTCAGTTTTCGCTATTGACAAAGAAGAATTAAAAATACGACGATCTTTTATGTGAAACTTAAAATAGAGTTCAATAAGAATGTCACTTCGGGGCTTTTTTGTGTTATCAGATCGTGCGAGTATCATTTTTTCTTTTACGATAATAATCATAATTGTAATGATAAATGGGCGGTGTGCAGCTCCCTTTAAAAGGATAGAATTAGGAAATCTTTGAACGAGCATAATAGATCAATGAATTTTTGATTTAAAAGGTTATTATCAATAAAAGTGTTTATTCTGTGTCAATTGTATGCGGCTATACCAATAACGAATTTCATTTATGACACATAATTAGTATGAAGAAATTATATTTACACATGACGTATTATTAATTCATCAATCGGTCTTACATTTAAACAAACTCCCGAAAGGAACATTTGTATAAGGAGAAATTCATACAAAAAAAATTGATGAATGCCATTCTTTACCACTAAAAGGATATAATGAAGATAACGATAATGATCGTTCATAGAGAACAATCGGGTTTTAAAACTATTTGTTTATGGTTCAATGAAATACAATTTTAAGCTATTAATGGAAAAACTTTGTGGCGTTTGGCAAAAATTTATGTTATCGCACAATAATATTGACGAGATGGCAAAAATCGGGGTTTTTTCGTGGCGCTTTTAATCTAACTAATTTCCAACAGATACATAAAGACGGCCTGGGAAAAATGTACAAAAATCTTTCAGTGTTCCCGTCTCCGCTTTGTGCTTATCGTTATGCTTTATGAAAATAGATAATTTTCATGTTTTATAAAACAAAGATAGAGATGAAGAGTAATCGTGACAAGAAAAACGTGTCACTTTGCATGAAGTTTAGCCCCTGATTATTTCATCATACCGCTTTTTTTTATACAGCCCATCACGACAAAATCTTGTTAACATTAATCATACTGCGTAATAAAATTTTGAAACACATGAATAAAAATAATCACACTTTTTTTATTTTATATCACTGTGTATGTATGCGACGACGGAAAAAAGATGATTGCCTGATGGCCATTTTAGTTAGAATCTCTGAAAAGCGATCTTTAATCGTGTCGGCTACTTACTACCGGAGTAAAGATCTGCCAAAAGAGAATTATTTGTCAGCAGCAATTCCTCTGTCTCACGAATTCGAGTTAACTTCAGAGTTGACGATGACGATTTTAACCTTTTTGAGAAAAGCATTTCATTATTTGAGTTCATTCAGTTAGACATTAAAGATCGTCAAGGGTCGACAATACTGAACATGTAATTTGCTATCTACGTATTCTGTGTACATTTTGTGTGTCTGCATTATTAGATTTTATGCGGAATTTAAATATCTTGTTTGAAAGATATTATTAAATTACATTTCCTGTTAATCAATCTTCCTTTTCGAGAAACGCAAAGAAAATTCTCCGTAAAACATAGTATGACGTCTTCTTGCATTTTTCTAAGCCGAGAAAGACGATTATATTATTATAGTCTACATAAATTTTAGCGTACGAGTTGAGATGATTTTTGTACACATGGCAATTCATTCATTTCTCTCTCGTGTCACGCGAAAATTTTATTGAACTATTGAAATGGATTTTTTATAAATTACTTGCACTGATTCTTGATAGATAAATTTTCCTCATTTTTTTCGTTCTCGCTCTCTCGTTAGCTATCTCTTTATTTCTCTGTATCGATCTCTTGCGACCCTTATTTTATTTTAGTAGGAAAAGAGTCGTCAAGAAAAATACTTTTTTTAAAGACTTAATCTTTTTATGAAACAAATAAAACAAAATATCAATAATAATGTCTGTTAAACGCAATAATACTACAACCGCTTGTGTAAATTGTCGTAAGAAAAGAACGAGATGTACCGGGAATTTTAGGTGTCAACGATGCATTAAACTTGGACTTGAGTGTACTTTCGTTCCACCAACGAAAAAACGTGGACCACAAAAGAAAGGATTGCACGCAATAGTTGAAACAAAAAAGTCCATTACAAATGATTGTGCTGAAAGATTTGCTCATATACGACAACGACAACAGCAACAGCAAACATCTCATTCGATTTTCGTAAATTCCCGAAACAAAAATGACAATACAAAATGTAGTTTGCGTCTACCCTCATTTTCTCAAATAGAGAATTTAGATGATAGCTTTCTCAACAAACCCACTCCCCCACTCAACCAACAACATTGTGGAGACATTTTCAACAATAAAGGTAAATTATTAATGCTCATATCAGAAATTTATTATTATCTATTAATTAATATTCTCTTAATTATATTATATACAGAGCGTCAACATTCAATAAATGAGCCTCGTAAATCTGCATTTACGCCTTATTTCTCCCGACCTCCTCCGATATCTTCCAGTAACAATAATAATAATGTTACGAATAGTTTAAACCATTTACAAAATCAAGAGTATTCTTGGCTCCCAAAAATGAAGAATTCAAATCCCTCTACAATAAACCATCTTGAATTCTTGCCATCCGTTCCATTATATCCTTTACGAAATGGATTTCCTCAGTCTCCACTCAGTTTTGCACAAAATGTGAATTCTCAGTATAATCCATTTCCACGTTTATATTCTCCTGCTCCAATGAAGCCACAAATTGAACTCCTTTCTTGAAGCTGAACTTCTTCATCACTCCACCGTGATAATTGAAGATTAAAGGAAGGTAATACAAAGTTTCATTCGCAACGCCGGCGTTTACTGCGAACCAATCTTCAGCATTATGCATGTATTACCTAACGTATTGGCGCTTTCGCATTACATTGGAATCAAAAAAATATAAAATATTGAATTTTCATATGTTAGTTTTTTGTTTATAAAAGATAATACACAAAAAAATTTTGATTTTTGCTAGCTATTGGCTTTAAGATTCTTTTTATGTTGTTGCATTTGATTGTTTAGTTACTTGAACCCCTTTCTATCCTCTTTTCTCTTTTTTAATCTATACTTTAAATACCCAAAAATAAGCAATAATTTTTCGGCTTGTGCTACTTTTTTATTAAGACCAAGTTTTTTCGTTTTATGCCTTTCTATCAATTCAAGCTTTAAAAAAATATGAAACGTCAAAAATAAATATAAGAAAAAATTTATCATCATAATTT